GGAGCCTCCAGGGACCAAGAAGATACTCACGTCTTTGTTCTCAAGGATCTCCTGCTTCGACTCGGGTTCAACTTCCACAAATTCCGCCTCTTCTCCTAAGGCTCCAAAATCGGGCCCTCCCACTGGGAGAGGCTCCAGGCTCTGGGGAGGGGAGGGATGGAAGAACAGCTCAGCAAAGCCGCTCCACAGAGCCTCCGTGCACTCACATTCCTCACTGCCTGTCCAGGCGAGAGTAGTGGCCTCACATGCTGCCACTGCAGCCCTGCCAGTCCACGAGGACTCCCAGCCCAGCCAAGAGGACAGTGACGTGTCACACTGCCTCTCGGCCCGGCACACCTCACTGGCAGATGCTCACCGTTGGCGGATGCCTTACAATCTCAAGCAACGGCAGGTAACTGGCTGGTCGGTAGGTGGGTAGGTGAGCAGGAGGCGTCTTGTGATGAAGTGTGGGCAGTGGGCAGGCGCAGGCCAGCAGGGGGACGCAGGGCAGCTGTTAAGCTGCTGCTGCTGCTAACGTCTGAGATGGGTGGCAAAGCCATCGGTATTCACTGTATGAAACCCATCACCATTAATTCAGATACCATTAATTAGCTGTGAAAGGCCATATGTGAAATTTCTATGGCGGCTAATCTATTCTGCACACCTGTTTCAAGGCCCATTTAAAGGACAGAAATCATTTAAAAATAAAGCCATTTCTCAGGGGTGAGGAAAGCCAAGGCACAAACCCTGCTGCACTGTTGCTATGGAAGCGTCCTGCTCCGGGCAGAGCAACGGGAAAGTCTCCCTCCATTCCCAAGGGCGTGTCCGCACACTACCAGGGGCTGAGCCGCTCACAGGAAAGGGCCTGGGAGCAGAGGCATCCACTTCGAGACTAGGACTCCCAGGGAGACAGAATAGTAACCGTGCAAATATTACACTAATATTAAAAAATGGAAGAAAAACAACAACAACAGAGAGAGAGCTAAAGAGATGGATCTAACACAGGATGGCGATGTCAAGCCCCCACTCTCCCATGCAGCCGGCTCCCATAGACCTAGACTGCATTAACTAACGCGAGTGTAGACTGAGTTACCACGTGACCAGTCTGCACCGCTCAGGCATGAAAATGAGGCCATGCTGACGGTGGTTCAAGAGACAAAGTACCATAATGAGATGGGCACAGACCTCGGACAGCAAAAGGGGGAGGAACACGCGTGGCCTAGCTCAAGCGAAGGGAAGGGAAGAAAAACCCAAGCCTCCAGCTGTCCCGCTGAAGGATTCTACGGGCAAAACGTTGAACGAAGCTAGAGGCATCAAAATGTGCGGAAGGGATACAGAGTTACTGTACCAACAAGAACTGCCAGAGGCTCAACCGTGTCAAGAGATGCTGTATGGCCACGAACCAATGGTACTGAAGAAAGACCAGCAAGCTGCACTGAGGCACCGGCAGACAACCAGACTCCAGCTGCTGGTGTAGACCAACTGAGATGCTTCAACACACAGCTGCAACGCTGGAGCCGCTTATTCCTCTCTAGGCCAAGAAATCTGGGTATTTGTTGGCACACCAACATGACCAATGAACACAT